ACTGTTGGCACCAAGTTCTGTTTACGAAATTCTTCCCTGGGTTTTCTCCACACCAAGATTCTACCGTCAGAACCAAATATATTAAATTTACTTTCATCAGCAAATATAACTTCATTTCAGTAATCAGAATTCTTATTTATGTTGGATTTTGCGAAAGCCAGTCTGAGTTTTCTATTCTTTTCACTTACGAAGAATTTTTTTCCCGGCTGCTCCACCGTGATATCCAGCAGATCGAATTACTCTTCTAATAGTCTCAGGATTAACAATTTCTTTATATTGTAGGGTTTATATTTATTTTAACTAACATTTATTTTAAGTTTAAACTATCTTTCCGGTCAAGCCTTACTTTCCCCTGGAATTGCCAATGCCAGAGTATGTAAATTTTAGTAGAACGCGCAAGATTCAAATTATCAGCGGAAGTATTCTGAGTTAAATAGAAAGAAAACGAGTTCGAAAGTGTGCTTTCTTGCTTCACGAGTGTGGAGGTGGCTAGTTAGAAATTGAAGAACCACGCGTTTCGGCCTGTGTGCTTGCCTCGGCAAATTGTTAATCTTTCAACGTAATATTCAGAGCTTGCTGAATTATCAGCGGTATTTTAGAACGCGGTGAGGTTAGTTACGTTTAGAGAGCCTCGTAGTTAGTCACTTGTTATTATCTCTTTTTAGTTTCTTATTTTTATTTTACCGCCGGGTCGGCGTAGTTTGTAAGCGTCAAAAGCACGCATTTGTAACTTCTAAAGTTGAATAAAAGGGATTTAAACCCTTCTCAAGACTTTGGTCTATTTCCAGTTCTCAGCAGTCACCACATTGTTGCGTGCAGGTTGGAAGCGCGCAACTTTACAATATAATGCTTGTAAATCAGCACCAACTTTAGGAGCACTCATTCTTGGATTTTTTTTAATATTTCGAACGATAATTCGCTTTATTCCATTGGATAGCTTTGATGGTCGGCCATGTCTTCTTTTATCCTGAATCATATGATTCTTTTTATATCGTTTAATGATCTTGAAAACTGTTGAATGACTCAAGTTAACTGTTTCAGCAGTTTTTCTTACAGATTTTCCACGTTCAATATGCAAATTAATAACTAATTTTCGAACTTCAGGCAAAGTTTCTTTTCGTTTAGCATTCATAGCTGCACAGAGCTAAAAAACACAAAAATTCCAAAACAAAATGGAGAGAAATACTGCAGAGGATTTTATAAATTATTGCCAATTGCTTTTGAGTAAAAATAAAAACCCCAAAAATATTTTTATTGTAGTACGTAGTATCTAATGGTGTCCCATCACTTATGTGAGCCATTTTTTGCTCCGTTCTAAACAACTGTATTTTTATTAAATTAATATTTTAATATTTTGAGAAAATATATGTTATGTAATAATTGTTACTAAATTTAAGTATGAAACACACCCACAAAAAATTTTTACATGTTTTTTAAATTTATTTTATTACAGTTTCCTTTTGTAAAGCACAAGTGTCCCATCACTTTTGTGAGACACTGTACGTTTTCGTATTCATTTCGTAAAAATAAACACCGTAGTATTTTAAACCCGGCGAAGTGGATTTTTATTTTCTCAGGGCCATTTCGCCACAATACGGAAGAACGACGTTTTTCAAGATGGCTGGCGATTGTTAAAACCGCGCCAACAATTGCGCCAAAGTAAATCGCCAAAAATCCGTGCAACCGTGCAAAGTAGCACCAAATTCACTAATAACGGAAGCATAATAAACTCATTAAAATATTCAAGTTACTCTATCGTCGTAAAATTCAACACATGAAACAACTTTCGTTCAAATCTTAAAATATTCCACATCTTTCGTTTGCCACATGCAAGAAACAAAACTAAAAAAAAAAATTAACTAAATAAAATTAAATGAAAACATTCATAAATTATAAACTTCACGTCATCTGAAATGCAGCATTCTCTTACCAACAACAGCGTAACCTTCTGCAAATATTTATATAAATATAATATTAAACATATATATAATAATAATAATATTAAACAGTTAAACTTTTAAAAACAAACACAGTATTTCAAAATTAAATTTTTTTTAAAAAAATCTTCTTACTACACTAATTTCGCGCTCTTACAGTTATGGAAATAAAGCTCTAGGTTTGCCACAAGAAAACATACAGCCGGAAACCACAACCAAGTCAAAATCGCGCCAAATAAAAAACTCTCGCCAAGCTTGGCGCTCACCCCGATTATGGAATTTTAACCGTATATGCCTCTTCCTTGTTCTGTTTTCGGTCTATCATGAATATTATCTGTAACTTTCTCTCTTATTTTAATTTCTTTTGTACTGATTTTCTGAAATTTGTCTTATTGAAGGGAATGTAAAGAAATAATTTTCATTAATAAAAGCTTATTTAGTATTTGTTTATTATATTCAAAATTCTATCATAATATATTTTACAGTTATGCAAAGTGATATTTAGTAAAGTAACAGATGTTTATTTCAATGAGCAAACCGAGTAATTAGCATTTGCCATCTAATAGGGAACAAAGAAAGATTTAGATTTCAAATTCTAACTGGTATTAACACATGCGTTCAAATCAGATAATTTTAATTGATGACATAATGGTAATAATGATAATAATCTTTTTTAAGTGAGAGGTAATGAACTAGGGGGTAATGGTAAAATAATTTAACATTTTGCATAATTTTTCGAGCTAGAGGATGATAGAACAACTAAATATTATTTTAGTTTCTTCATTTTATATTTTTAGAAAGTATGTTTAATTCAGTGTTTACATGCATTTTATACATTTTTAATTAAAAATTAGGTAACTGTTTTTCATACTTGTAAATTTTAAATTATGTGTTTCTTCATGTATAGAAATATGAAAAGTGCTCTTAAAAATTCTGTTGAACCATTCATAGGTATAGTGCATATGAAATGTTATGAGAAGTCTAGTATTAATTTATTTGTTACTAGCTATATTACTTGGCCTTAGCTCTAGAACTTGCCTAGCATCAACAAAGATTAAAAATTCAAGTCAAAATCTGCTTATAGCTCTTTGTAATTTTTGTGATTACCATTCATTAATCACTTGTATCTTAAACTTTTTAAGTACTTTTCTTGTTCTTTGACTCTAACTTGGTTTCTTTCAGAAGAATTTTATAATGAAGAAATTATGGAATAATTTTATATGTATTAAGTATATACTGTATGTGTTAAGTATATATACTTCATTTATACTTTATTGGCCTCAATACTGTTTATATATATTATTTCTCTTGCTATCTTTCAAATTAGCTTCATTCTGTGATGAAATGGAAGAATGTACAACGTTTGTTGCGATTATTAAAAATTCATTGACACTTCTAGTGACATCGCTTGTACAGAATTTTGAAACAAAACTGAGATAGATGCTTAGCGTGTGTTGTCTAAATTAATCCATTTCTTACTTAAATGTAAAATTTCATATTGATCCATCTAATGATGCTTGCATGGCTATGTAACAAACATTCAGATAACAGTTTTGTATAGCAGTTTTTAGCCAACTTGAATTCTGAAAGAATGTTTTGTGCGAGATAAACTGTATACAATTTTTCAATGTTCTAAATTCTTTTAAAATTAATCATAGTGAAATATTTCCAAATAAGCAATAAAAAACGATGTCATGTAGACAAAATTGAAGCAAGTTGAGATGATTTATAAACATGATCATAAGTAATATTTTTTGTGCCTGTATTGTAATTTTTCTACAAATGATGTGCAGTAGGCAAAAAAACAACATTTACAGGTACCACAAATTAGCCAAATACAACTTTGACGAAATTTGTGTAAAATCAATATAAATTAAAAATTCACAGAGACTGAAACTTCACTTTCAAAACTGAATTAAATAAAACAATCGATATCTAATTCACCAAGTAATACGAGAGGTGACATCTGCAGTTAAATCAAAATCACGGTTAATCCAAAAGCAGTTAAAGGGGGGGGAGAGAGAAACAGAAAAATAATGTTAACTCATTTGAAAATATAAGTGAATTATAAACAATATTTTTCTGTTTTCTTTTCCTATTTTAAGCAATATAATCTGAGGAATAAATTTATTTATTAAATTAAATCATTAACTAAAAAAGAAACAAGAATATCACCAAGTTTAAACTCAAGGAAAGAACGAAATCAAAATTGTTTGTTTCGTTTTTCGTAGAATATATCTGGCAGACCTCATCTGCTATCCCAAGCGCTTTTCTTTTTCTAAAACTTTTGCTTTATGCTGGTAGTTTGTGACACTTTTTCCATAGTTTCACAAAAAAAGAACTTGGTTTTCTTTAAACAGGCTCCAGCTAATTCAACCCTGGTTAACTAGTAATTGGCTGCAAAACATAAATTTTAAAATTTACTTATATTAGAAAAATTAATTGTTTTGAAGCTCTAAGAATGAAGATTCTGAATGCCCTTTTTCCTCGCTTTCAGAATTCTAAATGCTTTTCCCAGAGTTATTGGTTATAGATAAGAGATTCTGAAAAGCATAACAACCCTTTTAAATATGCACCATTAATACCCTTAATAATAAGGCCCATATGCTGTGGCCATATGTCACAACATATGCTGAACAGTCTTCCTTCTTGATCTGCAGTCTTAACAAAAATATCCAATCTAAATAGACATTTGTAATGGGTGTTATAGTTATTTTCCTTCAAAAAGTCAGGATTATACTTTTTGTATTCATTATTCAAGCTTCATGGGAGAAAATATATGTTCTATTTAATTTACATCCTGGAAAATAATCATGCTTATTATATCATAAATAATCATTACAAAGTGTGATACTCTGATATCTTTAGTGGAAGTTCATTCAAATTCTTTTGTTTTGTATTTGGTGGGACAAAACTAGTCCTGCATTTGCAGATACACATTGCTACTAACAGAATCATAATACTCATGTCACCATGTATTATACAGCTACAATTATAAAAATTTAGTGATGTATTTTATTGTATTTTTTGCTAATAACTATATTTTAAGCTTGTATTTAAAAGTGAAACGAACGTATAACGGATTGCCAGACTTTATGACGCAAGTTGCATATCAAGAACTGCAAGAACTTAGTGAAGATATTCAGAAGTGCAGTGTTATATATTTGCCTCAGGTGAAATAATATTATTCTGTTAAATTTTCTTTATATTAATACAGTGACAGATTTAAAAGTCAACAGGACCTCTTTTTTTTTTATAGTTAGGATATCTATTAGCAGTTCCTGTGACAGAACAGATGAAAAAGACCAAGAATTACACTATCCCAAATTTAAGATTTATGGTTAGTGTAAAACATTTAAATAAGTTTCATATTTCTGATAATATTAAGTCTTAAAGAGTATAGTGTTAAAAGAATTTCAACCTCAAAATATTTAAGCGTGCTTTACAATCCTCGTTTCATGTGTAGCAGAAAGATCTACCCAAGCCTAAAATTTCAACAAACTATTTGAAATAGGAACTGTATATTGAGAAAAGGTTGGTAAAACAAAATTATCAAATAGTTAGCTATTAAAGCAAAGTAGTAATTAAGTTAAATGTACAAAATAATGATATATATGTTATTAGCTTTACTTTTTTGTGTAATTTGTACACAAGAAACCTTAAATATGTAACTTAATAGTGACAGATTATGTAAGGATTATATTTATTTATCTAACAGCTAAATTTTGAGTTAAACTTCCTTTCCTATCGCTTCTTAATTTCAACTTACCACTTCCGGCCAGAACGTTGTTTTAGAATTGCGTCTAAATGCTAATGAGGAAGAGCGGCATTTAACCGCGAAGTTCTACTGTGCTATCAGATGCGTGTTGTAATGAAGCCAGCCGCAACATTTGATGGCAAAGGTTCAGTGATTACCTTCCTGGAGCAACTGGACCTGCATTTTACTTTATACCCAGTAAACTAGTAATAGCGATGGTACTTTGTAATAGCGATGGTACTGCAGAAAGTACCATCGCTATTACAAACCTAAGAGGTCAAGCCCTCAGCTGGTACAAAAGAATTGCAAAGTTTTTGTTGGGGAACCAGGTTCGGAATCGTACAATTGGAAAAACTTCACGTCTGTATTATCAAAAGCATTTCCAGTTGTTTACTCTCTCGCTGCGCATCCCGCGATTTCCACGGGCAACGTAAAAGTAGCAAAATTTGCGCAACCCGCGATTTCCACGGGGATGAATTTTTGCCGTTTATTTAACTGTGCAACCTGTTCTTTCCTCTTTCAAGGTTTCCTTTCGGCTTCTCTGTGATGTTTAATTGTTTATTGAGATGTTGACTAACAGATGTCGTTAGTTGTCCACATTTCTGCCAAATATACAAGAATACGTAATATAGCATTTTGCGCACGCTTTTCAGAGCTCAGAGATGTCTGGCAGGAAGTGTTTCGCGAGTGTAGTTCACTCGCGAAGTTCTGACTCCAATTTCAAGTATACTGAAGATAGTTATAGCGAAACTGATGAGAATTTCTCGGATTCCTCTAAAGATAGTGATAAATCTGAAAATTCAGTTTCTATTGAAAACGTTCGACAGTAGTGCAAAATTGATATGCAAAATATTACATTATGCAAGTATTTTCATTAGGATATATGTTTTACCTTTGTATTTTATAAAATAAATCATAATTTAAGCAATATTAATTTTATGTTAACTCTAAAATATATGTAGATTTGAAATATGTAATAAAAATATATGCAATTTTTTAACCTATTTTGATTTAAAAAAAAAAAAAAAAAAAAAAGGTACCCAGCGAGAGGGTTAAAGACCGTGCGAAGTTAGAGTCGGAATTGTTTAGTAAATATCAAAGCAATTTCGATGAGTTGACGGAGTTCATTCTAAGAAAAATCGAAGTATTTAATTGTACCGGAAGAGGCCCGATAGTGAACTTATCAAGGTGATTCTGCCGCGTCTACTACCGTCAGCTCAAGATTTCCCCGAAGTCTGTAAAACCCACAAGCATTAGAAAACCTCTTTCAGCTTGCGGTGAAGTTCCAAAGCAGAAGAAACTCGGAGAGCCGTCGCCATCGAGATACACCTATAATCTATCTCAATGGTGACGGGAGAGCGCGCGTGCGAACCAGTTTGGCCAACATTCAAGGTTTACTCCTCAGAAGAAACCGCAAATTCAGCAGAGTGAGTATCGGCAGACGGGAAAAGGTGGAAAGTCCACTAACAAAAGCGCGGATAAATCTAAGGGTTTTGGATACAAAAGTCAGCGAAACGAGGGGGCGGAAAATCAAAATTTAAACGAACAGCGGTGATCGGGAAGGAAGCACGGTCACCGAGTGGGAAGAAAAGTCCCTCAGAAATTCGTCTGAACTCAGTGGTGGTGCAAAATCTAGCCATGCCAAAGATACATATATTATTCAATATAATGTATCAACCAGTGCCCTCCTGGACACCGGAGCTCAGTGTTCATTTCTTTCACAAGATTTCTTTAAGAAAAATTTTCGCCGTTATAGGTTGTTTAAAACCACAGGACAAAGAGTAATTGCCGCCCAAAGCAAGCAATGCGTAAGGTTGGGGAAACTCGCACTGCATTACAAATTATAAACGAAGTGTTAAAAATTAATTTTTCAGTGGTAAAAAATTTGCTAACTTCTGTAATAGTGGGGGTCGATTTCTTACGCGCAGCTGGCGCGAATCTTAATTTTCAGATTTCTATGTTACAAGTGCACATGGACCCCGTGAAAGAAGAGGAAGGGTCTATGCCTGAGCTAAGCCTTAACCACCTGAAGCCCGAAGAGAAAGAAAAGATTGAAAAGTTGGTAAGAAAATTTAATTCTTTGCTTAACGAAAAACCTGGCATCTGCCAGGTAGTGACTCATGCTATTGATACAGGCAACGCCCCTCCAGTCCGGTCGAAACCTTATCGGTATGATAGGGTCAAAGAACAGATTCTGGAACATCATATAAAAAGGTAAAGGTAAAAGTATGGGGGACACCAGCAATGTACTATAGGTCAGCTGGTAATGCCTTCCCATACTAACTCTTTGAAAAAAAAGGGGAGGAATTGCAAGTTTCATAAGAATTTGCATAGACTGAAGCTTTCCAAAAGGTATAGAGTTTGCCTATTATGGTACATTGTGCAATCCCACAGTACGCCCCGCATCCAATATTTATTAAAAATAATGATGTAGGGCATAAGTAGATTACAAAATAGTCGGAATACAATTTGAGATTCACAAGATAAATTGAATATCTGATTTGGTGCAACAAAAATAGGAGATAAACATAATTAATAAACAGATAAACATAATAAGATAATTATAATTAGTACCGCAACACAATGTTAAAATGAATTGTAATAATAATGCTAAAGAGGTGGGTGTCCAAATATTATTGCAGTTTATAAAGTTCACGAGCTGAGACATTTTGTCCATAATCACAGCATGTAAAACTTCACTAAGTTTAAACAGTATGTAGACTTACACTTGACAGAGATCTAGGCCGTAGGAAGAGAGTCGTTGCATAAATTTCTGAAACTTTGGATACTGATGTTTATCTTTAATTGAAAACCTTTGGAATGCCAGGAGGTCAGTTGTTGGGGATTTTATGTGAATATCCTCAGTTAAGGGGCATGAGAAAGTGTAATGATCAGGAGTTCCCTGTTCCCCACATATACAGATATCAGAATTTGCCAAATTTCTTGCGTAGAAATATGTGGGGAAGGGTCCATGTCCTGTTATAAAGTAATTTAGTGAAGTATTCGAGTACAGAGATGTGAAACTTACATTGGGGATCAAGTTATATGTGCGTCTTTCCTGTGGAGCATTGTTCCACAAATGTTGCCAAGATTTTGAAGCAAGAAGTTGTTTTAGTTGGTACTTGAAATTTGAGCAAGGCCACGGAATGATGATTTCAGTACCATCTTGATTAATAGCTGCTTCTTTGGCTAGTTAATCTGCCTGATCATTACCAAAATAAAAAACTAAGTTAGAAAATATAATCGTTGTTGCCAAGCACTAGTCCATACGCAAGTCCGGTGGTCCTTTTCAGAAAGAAAATGGGCTACCGCCCGAGCACCCGGACACGTACAGGTTTGCAGTTGATTACCGCAAACTTAATAGTATAACGAAGTATCCCCTACCAAAAATTTGTAGGGATTATATTTATTTTAACTAACATTTATTTTAAGGTTAAGTTATCTTTCCTGTCAAGCCTTTACTTTCCCCTAGAATTGCCAATGCTAGAGTATGTAAATTGTAGTAGAGCGCGCAGTATATTCAAATTTAGCGGAAGTAAGTTGCGTTTAAATAGAAGGGAAACGAGATTGTAGGTGTGCTTCTTGAATCGCGAACGTAAATGTTGCTAGGTAGAATTTAAGAAACGCGCGTGTCGGCCTGTGTGCCTATCTCGGCAGATTTTCCTGGATCTTTCAACTGCTTAATCAGTAAGCTCGCTGAATCTCAGCGGTAATGTTAGAACGCGGTTAGGTTAGTTTAAGATCTCAGAGCCTCGTGGATAGTGATCTCGCTATTTATTCATCCAGTCATTATTTTTCATTTCTACATTCTGTTTCAGTTAAAACCGCCGGGTTGGCGTAGTTTGTGAGCGTCAAGTGGACGCAGCTCTTATTTTAAAAGTTGAATAAAAAGGGCTTTAAACCCTTCTTACGTGTCTGTGTAAATTCACACTTAGTAACAGTCACTACCACAGTTGCTGACAAGGTGGGGCCTCTCGATATTACATTGGCGCCCGAACATCTTACGAACTCAGATGGCCGATAATTGGATGGAAGCTCCTGTACAACTCCAACAGCAAGAAATGGCCAACCATTTAGAAGGGTTTGGATATTTGGTCCAAACTATGAGAACATCCATCAAGCCAATCGTCAATTTTGACGGAAAAAATTCGGTGGCGATATCCTTAGAAGGCCTCGAAAATCATTTTCAGTTATATCCTGTGCCCGAAAGGCAAAAATTTGCCATTGCCACGTCTGCACTAAGAGGACAGGCCTCACTATTGTGGAAGAGTATAGGGAAATTTTTATTAGGAAAATTCGGAGGCCAAGCATATACCTTTGAAAATTTTAAAGCATCATTATTAAAGGCCTTCCCCATAGTGAAAGACCGAGCAAAGCTAGAAGCCGAACTTTATAGTTTTTATCAACGTAATATTGAAGATTTGACGGATTTTATTCTGCGAAAAGTTAAGCTGACAAACATGCTGTATGGAAAGAAACCCGACACTGAGATAATTGAAATAATTTTACCAAGATTACTACCTGCTGTCCAAGATTACTTGAAAATCCGAAATCCAAGCACCTTGCAGGAACGCTTCGAGTTGGCGGTCAAGTTCCAAAACCGACGAATAGCGGAAGAATCTAGAGGGGCATCGTATTCTCAAAGTTCCCGAAGACAATTCTCAAATCAACCGGCCGGTAACACAAATCGCTCTTATGGGGGAAAGAGCTATCAAGCCAACTCATCGAAGCACGAAGGTCAAGGCGCAACATTTGTAGAGTGAGTGAGTGCACCGCTATGATGGCTTCCGACCACGGACATGAACCAAACGGAATTATATACCGTCACGGCGGGGAAGACTCCAGAGAATATGCAACCGCCTTCGCCGGGTATCGAACCACGGACCTCTGGAATACCGGCCCAGCGTGCTACCGTTACACCACGAAGGCACGCTAGGGAAGTAGGAGAAATACCTTATAAATTGATTAAATTATCAGAAAAATTCGTTCTACTAAGTTTATGACAACCTTAGACATAACGTCTGGCTATTTTCAAATCGCCGTAAAACCCGAGGATGTTGAAAAGACTGCGTTTGTTACAAAGTCAGGCGTCTATGCCTTCTTAAGAATGCCGTTTAGTTTAAATGGAGCGCCGGCTACTTTTCAAAAAGCAATGGCTATAATTTTAAGGCCAGTTTTGGGTAAAAATACAATCATTTATCTCGATGATATAATAATCACCAGCGAAACGATAGACAAACATATAAAATACTTGGAAGAAGTTATTGCCTTGCTTAATGAGGCCAGTTTCAAAATAAATGCAAGAAAATGCAAGTTCGCTGCCAAGGAGTTGTGGTACCTTGGGTACAAGATTTCGAATAAGGGCATCGAGACCGATAATTCCAAAATATTAGCGATTAAAAGTTACCTTCCCCCAAACACGGCTAAGAAATTGTTTTCATTTTCGGGCTTATGTTCCTATTACAGCATGTTTATAAAAGATATCGCGAAAATTGTGGAGCCTCTTTTAGTTCTGGAAAGAAAGAAAACTAGATTTTCTTGGACAGCCGAGGGGTGCACCTCTTTTGAACAACTAAAAAATACCCTAATTAATGCCCCAGTCCTCAAATTCCCAGAAGGCGAACAAGATCTAGAGATTGCTGATGCATCCGATTACGCAATCGGAGCTGTGCTTTCCCAGAAAGGGCAACCGATAGCTTTCTTCTCGAAAACTCTGAATTCTAGCCAATGGAACTATTCGGCTACAGAGCGAGAGACACTGGCTGTTTAATTAGCGGTTCAGAAATTTCGCGTCTACTTCGGAAGTTCTCCGATAACAATACACTCGGACCATGCGGCAGTCGGTCGCTTATATTCGGGAGAAAATTTATCGCCTCGCCTGCTACGGTGGACATTAAAACTACAATAATTTAATTAAATTATAAAACACATGCAAGGTAAAGAAAATTTAGTTACCGATGCTCTTTCAAGAATAAAAATCGATGAGGGGAATACAGTTAAGTGTGCTATGCTCACTTCAAAAGTTATTGAGTCCCGTGAATCCATAGTTGAAGAATTAAGAAAGGATCCGGAATTTAAAGGCATTTACGCATATCTCGAAGACCCCGAAAATTTCGAACATAAAAGTTAAAAGACTATAAGTATGAATGGGCCAGCCATAAATTGAAAGTTTTATTAAACCTTTCAAAATGAATTTGAAAAGGAGTATAGCACTGAATGTATATGTTTTGGTAATTGCGGCTTGCATATTTTGAACAATGCTTTTCGTAAAGGAGCATCCATTACAAGCCGGGATATATCTTCAATTTTAGGAGCACTGTACCACCTATTCAAAGATTCTTCAGCACGTCGAGAAGATTTTTTAACAGCGAGTGGGCATAAGACTGCCATTGAAATTCTATAACCATAGGTGGCTAAGAGAATGTACCAGTATGTTCGCATGCTTTTGAAGTTTGAGAAGATATAAAAAGTTATGTTAAACTAATTGAGGATGGAAAATATGCAAAAAAAAAAAGTTTTCAAATCATACAAAATAATAAGATATGCAGTTAAAGACAAATTAATGCCTGTATTTTTTTTTTTTTTTCCCATTTGTGTGGCTGAATTGGTCAAAACCTTTTTGGAACTGTTCCGAAGTGAGGAACCTTTTTTTTTTTTTTTTTTTTTTTTTTTTTACACAAATTAGTAAAGCAACTTTTGCAGCATTTCAAAGTTATAAAAGAAGAGTACATGCTAGAAAATCAGTTCATCACTGAAAGATTTGTGTAACTTTGATTTTTCTGAGAAAGGTATTGTTAATGAAATAAGCAAAATTAGTTTAAGATTTAGGGTTGAAAAGTTCTTGCAAGAACTATACGCTAAAAAAGAAATCAGGGATGAAGATTGCTTTTCTTTTAAACGTGAATCACAAATTCAAAATGCTGTTTCTGTGAACCCAAAGCATACGATGGTAAACAGCTCAAAAGCATACGAGAAAATGAAAAGTATATTGATGCATCTCCCCCAAAAAGGTCACATTGCAGAAGAAGAATACAATAACATTCTTTTAAAATATTCTGATTTGATCGAAAACATTGTCCAGCCATACCTTACAGAGTTTAAAACCTACGATGTGAAAAAAATGAAATTAGATGCTTTTTTGCGCACATTCATTAATGAAAAATACTTTAAGTTATGGGAAACATTTAAAGCTATCTTTAATCTTTCCCATGGGCAAGCCTCTGTTGAATGGGATTTAGTATCAATAAAACTATAAAAACAGAAAATCTGAGGGAAAAAATTTATACATTGCCCAGCATGTTGTTTTTGATTATTTGAAACATGCTGGTGGGATTCACAATGTATCAATTATGAAAAGAGATGAGAGCGGCAACTTCATCAGCTCATTCACAGCATCGGTTATGTTTGGAACAGCAGGGAAAAAAAATTATTCAAGATTTAAAAAAAAAAAAAAAAAAAAAAAAAAAAAAAAAAAACAGAATCAACAGATGAATTGATTTCTCTTAAAGGAAAGGAAACAATCTTAAGTTAAAAGTGCAGGATAAATAAAGCAAATGAACTTGTTGAAAAAGCTGAAATTACAGACTTTAATCTTTTAAATAAATCTAATGAAATATTAAAAACTATTTGTGAAAAACAAACTGTGTTAAGAGAACTGGATTCAGGCATTAATGAAGAGAGACGAAAGAAAAATTAAAAATAAAAATATCATTATTCAATAATAAGCTAAAATCTTTTTTCTTGTTTCTTTTTTTATGCTGTAAAGTACTTTGTATGAATATAATAAATTTGGTTTATTACTGTTTATTTTCTCTATTTTTAACTGAAATTTCATCATTAAATCTTGTAATGTAGTTTAGTCTTGCATAGTTTCCATCCCTCATTGTAAACTATTTCTGTAATTTAAAATTGTTATTTAAAACTAAAAAATAGTTGTAATTGTTTTCCATGGTTCAGTAATGCTCATTCTCTCTTAATAAGTACTGAATTCCTCATATTTTATATTACAAATTAAGTCTCATTTTTCTTTTAGATTATGCAGTTGTGTACATATGTAATTAAACCAGTGATTGTTTTTTTTTTTTTTTTTTTTTTTTTTTTTTTTTTTTTTTTTTTTCCCCTTAAATTATGCTTGAAAGGTGCTTATAGGTGCTTATTTTTTTGTAAAAGCCTTTGTTATGTTGAAACTGATCCTGAATTTTTATAGTATATTACATTTCTAGTTTAGATTTTTTTTAAATGGGTTTTTTATATAATTATTGATGTGAAAATCTGTGGTTATTTATTAGTCTTAAAATTTGAATTTTCCTACCATGCATTCTCATATTTATGCTTTATTGCATCATTATTTTCTGTGATTTAATTATTTTCATTTTATTTCTTTGATTTTATAAAACTGAATTTAAGGAAGCATTTTTTAATCTTTATAAAAATTATTTAAATCTATTTAATTCTTTGCCTTTCTTTTAAATTAAATTTAAAATGTCTTTTTTTCTCTTTTAAGTTTATTCTGAATGATGTTGCTCATTACAAGACTGCCAACACTAAAAGTATGATATTTTTTCATTTGTTAGTAAATCAAATTTGAAAGTGTAATAATTTAATGTTTATATTGTATTTGTATATTCTTTGTATTTTGATCTCCTAAATTATGATTTAGATTTATTGACTGATTTTTAAAGTCAATCATAGTTTCAGAAAAAGTACCTAGCTCTATATTTTGTAAATTTATTATTTTTCCTTGTTGAAAAATGTATTTTATAGAGAAGGTAGTTATGTTCTTTAAGAAATTATGTAAATGTAATATTATATTTTCAAAGCCTATAATTAATCTTCTGAATGTACAGCTGCAATGGCAGCTGAAAAATCTTAAATTCATTAAATAAAGCCTCGTAAAATCTTTAAAGTTTTATGCACATAAAGAAAAGGCAAATAGCGCTGTTTATAACTTAAAATATTGCTAATGAAGCTCCCAAAAGTGAAAACAGGCTCTTCATTTATGATTGAAAAGTGTTGTAAATCAGAAACTCTGCAAACAAAACTTGCAAATGCAGATGTACAAGTTCTAAGAAGTGAGTAGGCTGTAAAAGCTGTCTATAAATAGTTTTTTTTTAGTAAGTACATAATGAGGATTGAGCTAAGTTATAAAATTCAAATTTTAACAGTGGTATTGAGATGTATCTTGAGAAGTGCAGATCTCAATCCTATGAGATATTGCCCAAATCTCAGTCAGTAACTTTGAAACATTGTGAGTTTGAATGATGTTTCATTGTGCATTCTCAAATTAATGCTAAAAATCACCAAATTATAAAGTATAGTTGATTTCTTGTTCTTTTAGAGCTATTTACGTTTGTACTCTTTCCCCCCCTCTTCATTTTAGTCATGACACGACAACATGCAGATGTACAAAACAAAAACAACTGCATAAATTTATAATATCATTTTAACACATGTATGAAACTATTTCAATTTGCTAAATTTGTTAATGAAGGGATTGAACTTTTCTTTGTTAAATCAAATGCAAGACATCAGAATCAAATCAAATTTATTTAAGTATCATTAAAGTATTTCATATAAATTCTTAAGTTTCTCATCAGAAAGTACATGTTAAAAATAAGGCATCTTAAATTACCGAAGACTCAGCTTCACTGATAGGTTCAGTATAGATATTTAAAATTGGAAAAGTGCAACTTATGGTATTTTAAAGCCATAAGCAGAAACTTTATAAGATGTTTCTCCCACCTTCTTAGCATGCCTTCGTGGTGTAGTGGTCAGCATACTTGACGCGTATTCGAGAGGTCCGTGGATCGAGTCCCGGCGAGGGCATTGCTCATTTTTCATCTCTCCTGCTTCGAAATAACTCAATATCCCTGCAACTTGATTAAAAAAATAAGTAAACAGACTGTTTTGCTCATATACAGTATGAAATGTTAAGCACAATTGCTAAAATCACTAATCTGAATCATAGCATTAATGTATTCACCATTTCAAAGTTTGAGATAAGAACTTATATTTGCCATATCTGGATGGAATTTAAGAATTATGAAAAATAACAATGAAAGACTAATGTATGCTGAGAAAACAGTAAAAAATTTAACCTTCACTTTAAATGAAATTAGTCCGAGTCCAAACAAGTCTAACATGAAAATGAGATTCATGATAATAACTTACTATAATCTGGGTTATATGATGTTTCTTGGTGAACAGAATGGGATATTTTTTGTCTTGTACGATGTTGGCTTGTCTTAACCTTCCTCCAATGCATATAAATCCATTCTTATCGATAAAAGTATTCAAAGAAATTATTTTCTCATTTGAGTTGCTTCTCCTGCAGAAGAATTCATTCAAAAACTCATCCTTTTAAATTATTCTAATGCACTTCCAGCCTGTTGCAGTTCTTCGGTTGCAATATAACCTTTAATCCTTGTTGCAGTAGATATAGCTGAATTATTGGCAAAAAAATATGCCATGTGATTATTCTTTTAAGTTTCAAGAATAATACCTCATTAAGGACTGGAATTAGGGAAGTGATTTTTCGAATTGAATAAGAAATACTTTTACGTCGTTCTTTGAAACACTGTTCTGAAATGTCAAGTTGATTGAGAATTTAATATTATTTTGACTGAGCCACTGAGGTACTGTCCACCAAAAATCATAAATAGAGAGTTCTCGACCTTTTGATGTGTTTTGTGTGTTTGGATATGCATCACCAGGGTTCTCTTTTTCTCTTATGTGATTTCAAAGCTATGATGATTGAATTTCCGAAACGCGATTGATAAAATTTTTCAGTTGTGGATTCTGATTGTATCCATGACAAAACAATCATTCCATGCAAAAATATCATCAACATAAATTTGTAAAGAATTCTGCACAACTTGAGCCCAATGCCCTAATAAAAAGGCAGAGCAGAGTTTTAAACGAGGAATAGAAATTACTTTCAGGGCAGCTACCCAAGGCTTTATGTTAATAGCTGCACCAAAACTGAAGAACTATTTGAAAACTTTAAATAAATCACTGTGATGTAAGCTTTCTCTGATGTTTCACAGAAGCATTGACGTTCATCACTTGTAGCTTTGGGCAAAGGTATAATTGTAGTTAATGCATTTGATATTTGTAACATCTTCACAATAGGTTTTTCATCTTTGATTGCTTTTTTCTGGTAAGGGATCATCCCACGAAACTTGTAATTTCCGTATATTTTGAAGCAAAATTATTGCAGCAACTATGAAAGGTTTTAATGAACTAAGTGGATGGAAGATTTTCAAAATAGAAGACAAAATCATTCTTTAGTAGAATGCTCACTGGGCTCAAGATTTTCAAAGTCACAAGTAAACTCGTCTTGCAATGGGTACCACTCCAAACTTAATAATTTTATTGATTTCCATTCAGCATTTTACATGAAGAATGTTCTGATCTTTCAATGCCGTTTCTAAAATCAAGCAATTATTTGCACACCATTTATGCAACTGGAAACCACCCTTTTGTAAAAGTTCAGTCAGTTATGAAATTAACTCTACTGTGTCTGAATCAAATAAACCGTCGATCAGTATAACAAATGTGCAATATGATTGATCTCTGCTGGCTATTGATTCAGCCTCTTTGTCAATTGCTAGTTGTCTGAGTATGTGAATAGCCAAGTATGAAGCTAAAGTGGTGCCATACATAACTGTGCACAACTTGTAAGTTTTAATGGGGCTCAATATATCATCTTTCCATGATATTTTTGGTAATTGCGATCTTCATCATGAACTTGAATTTGATACATTTTCAGTTAGTCAGTCATAGCTAAATATCCCAGGCGTATTTTTGGCACAAGCAATCGAGAAAGATACATAGTTTTATAGTAAGACTTTAATCTTTTAGCATGTGGTGATGAGGTATATAAAAATACTCATTTATTTTATATAGATTATCATCAGGTAATTCTTCCATGTCTCCAAGTGATAAATATTCAGACATAAAGTCTTCATGTTGTTGATATATTTCAGGATTTTTCTTTAGTTAAAGGTTTCGATGTGGAAATTTGTTCAAGATCCCAAAATGATTTCACTAACTCCTCAGTACTTGCATTTAGCAAACTGACTGAAACTTGCTCGTGGTTTGAGGATTCATAATTTGTAGTTCTAGCAGTTACTCCTCCCAACTTAGAACAAAAATTGCAGATAGAAGGTTTTTGTCTCTTTGAATTACTTCTCCATTGTTCAAAGTAAAAGGCACTTTAACTCCTAGGAAAATATCAATTTATCTCAATTCATGAAAATCAGGATCTGCTAAAGTTAAATCTTGGAAACATTCATATAAATTCAAAGGTAATGTTACAATTCAAAGGTAATAAACCTTTAATTGGAATATTTCCTTTAATTTTACCTATTATGTAGGTGAACATAGAAACTCTGTAGCTAGTACTTGAAGGAGGTGTTGAACAAGTCGATTTCTCCAGTATTGAAAGCACTTAAATATGAATTGAAGCGGGTTGAAAGTTCCTAAATAAGAATTGAAACGGGTTGAAAGTTCCTAAACATGAAAGTAATAGCTTTGAATTCTTTATTCTCAGTTTTAATTGATAGTAGTTTTCCAATGACTGAAAGATATTTCACTACCTGAGTTTAGCAAACATCTTCAATTTATGAATTAATTTTTTGAGTTTTTAACTTTAACTAAAAGCCGTACACGAAAGTACATGACTGTGTTTACCATTAGCATGAGCACCAAAATAGTTATTTTTGCAGTTGTTTACACACAGTTGAAAAAGCCTTACTCAATTTTTTTTCCCAATTTTGGAACAAAGACTTATGCTTCCGATAAAGGGAAATTAGATGCATTTTTTTGGTTAGAAATTATTTTCTAAGTGAAAAATTCTATGATGATATTTAAATCAATGTTCACAAGCATTTGCACTCTTTTACATTTTACATTATATAAGCAATTAAAACAAAGTCAATTACTCACATTACATTACATAAGCAATTAAAACAAAGTCAACTAGTCGAAGCAAAATCTATTCGTTTTTCCACTGATAAATTAGAAAAATTAGAACACTTGTGTAAAAAATTATCTTCTTTACAGAATAATAAGTAATGAGAGAAGCAATCTTATTATTCACTGGTTTATCTGGTTTGTGCATTTTAAAAATTAAAGGTTTATTGTTCTAAAATGTTCTAGCATAATTCTTCAAAAATTCCATCAAGTCTTTCAACTTTATATTTCTCTTTTTTTTAGTTGACACTCCCACCATAACTTTGGCAAAACATTATATGCAACAAAGTGAGACTAAAATTATCTGTCTTTTGAATTGCCAGAATGGCATTAACTTCACTGCAAAATCTCCAGACATTTTTACTTACTTGGCATAAAATAAAATCATATAATACAACAAGATGGCTAATCAAATAACTTGGCAGGTTGGCACAATATTACTAACTCTTTCATGAAAGAAATGACATGTGAGGTTGCTATAAATTGTTATATCATCCCAACAGCTCTGCAGTTTTTCAAATTGGAACATGTTTTCTTCTAATTATTTTGTTATTGTTGATACAGAGTGACTTTAATTGAAGTGGAGGGTTAAATATAATCTTTTCTACTCACGCTGCATAATTACTGCATGTGTTGTAGCATAATTTTTATTTCAGGGCATTGCTAAGAATGAAGAACCCAAAAGTTCATTTTTATTATATTATGCTTTTTTATTTTAAAAATGGGCTAGTCAAACAGCGTGTAAAATTTGTGCTTTGCTGTTTTTGATGACGTGCTTTTAAAGTGGTTTGAGAAGTGGAAATTTCAGCTTCAAATATAATGCCCACTCTGGATGATCATCCTCTGTAAACAAAGACCAGTTAAACGAAGCTGTCATTGAAAATCTAAGCTGTATAACTCAGGAACTATCAGGCAGAATAAAATTTCTGAAAAGTACAGTTCATGATCATGATATTTAATAGAAGACTGGGTATGTAAGCTGCTATGATGCGAACCCATACTTCAGCACAGGAAAATGTGCTTGCTTGGGTTTTGACATGTGATTCTTTAAAATATTAATTGCTAAAAGAAATAAACAAGCTTCTTTTTTGAAATGGTTCATTACTGGATATGAGAAGTGAATACTGTAAAGAAACAACAAGGAAAACATGTTATAAGGAAAAGATCTTAGAGTAAGTCAAAAGAACTTCCTTTTATAATGTTGAGAGATTACTGCATCCCAAAAAAGTAAATTTTTATGTATGGTGAAACTACAAAAGAATTGTATATCTATGAATTATTCTCACCAAATCAAACAATTAACTCTAAAAAGTGCCATTCCCAAATCGTAGCTTTAAAATCAGAAATCGAAGCAAAGTGACCAGAACTGACCAATCTTCGAGGTGTTGTTTTCCATCCAATTCTTGGTTTCATATTTTGATGAATATCTTCCAAAAACTTACTAAATGTGGCTGAGATGTTTTGTTTAAAGTCAATCAGACAGGCAATGTCGCCTTCCATATTTACTAGACCTTGTCGTCTGAGATTTTCATCTCTTCAAATGACTTCAAAATTTTCTGAATGGTCAGGAGTTCACTTCTTTGGAGACTATGACACAGCACGTTGATAACTTTGTTACAAATAACCTAATGACCTTAAAAAAAAAAAAAAAAAAAAAAAAAAAAAAAAAAAATTTCCTGTTGCCTGAGAGATGGTAAAATGCTGTGAAATAAAATAATGATTAATTTTCTTTAATTGATTAATTTGATTAATTTTTTTCTTTTTCAATTAAGTTTCTTTTGTTTTTTACTGATTTGTATCCATCATCAAAAAACTGCAGAACTTTTCATATGATCCAATATTTCAGTTTAGTTTGTAATAGGGACACTTTACAACAATCGTAGTGTAAGTGGCTTATTGGAGATAGAAAAAATCATACCTCTAATGATGTATTATAAGCATGATTATCTCATTGGTTACCTTTACTTTATGTGGTTGTAGTATCTCAAATTTTCTAAACTACATAATTACTCTATATTTATTACATGTTATTTACAATTCAAGTTACAAAAGCATTCATCACTTAATATGACTCGTCTTTCCTATGTTCACATCCTTGTTTGCATGCTGTATAATTTCTTTGTTCTTTCTCATTTAAATTCACTACAGTCATAGGTGGCAGGGATAGAGCAGTTAGAGTCACTGCAAAGGTAGAAGACAAGCAATGTTCTTACACTGTGAAATTATCAGAGTGTGAGCTTGTCTGGGCATATTAAACAAATACTTTCATTTGTCCGAATAATTAATTAATAGTCTGTTATGCAATATATTTTTAAATGCATGCTATTAATGATGTAAAAACGTAAGTCTTTCTCTAAATATAAAATGTCATATGAAGTAATTTTTGTTTTTTAAATCTGTTGTAGATTTCCTAGTCAAAATTTCACATAATTTTTTATGCGTTCATGGATTATTCAACTTCAACATAAGCATATGCAAAAACATATACAAACATTTTAAAACAATATATATATATATATATATATATATATATATATATATATATTGTAGGGAAGAAATTTATGTCCTTTTCGTAAACCAATATTTTTTCAGAATTTTTATAATGCTTCAAAGTGAACTTTATTATTTTAAGTACACACATACTTTAGGGGAAAAAACTGTGTCCTGTCAAAATAAGATATTGCCACCTTACATGCATAAGATATGTGGCTGAAGTGACCTTCATGATATACATTGTGATTAGTTTAACTAAATTTTTGAGCAGGGAAGTTTGGCATCGGCTTTCCAAGAACGAACAGGCAGATGATCAAGTGAAATGAAACTTGTAAATGTTGAAAATATTTTTTCTATTACATGCTTTGCTGGTAAGTATTTATTTCATATAATTACCAAATTCTAGAGATCCTTATGACAATAATGCAGGAAAATGCGCTGCACTGATAAGCTTTTCTTGTGTTGCCTAAATTCCTTAATAGTGCAGTGGAAGGAAAATGCATACTTCTTTGATAGCATTGTGATGCCTTTGGATAACAACAGCCTGTCCTTTACATGTAGATACTCTGATTTATTTTGCTGAAATGCTTCTAACTCTGCTGTGTTGTGTTATGCTTTTTTATAAATAAATATGAAGTAGACCATTACAAATATTTATGAATCGTAAAGTTTTTTTAATATCTCCAAGAGGCTTTATTGTGCGTAGTTAAGAATGAAATCTTGTACATTACACATTAAAACAGAAACGTGAAACCATGTTGTTACCAATTCATAATACATAAATATTTTTATTTGTATTCAGTGTTATAAAAGTGCATTGCTCATCAGTATCTGGAAGTAAGCATTTCAAAATTATATTATCTGCTTTCACAATAGCATTTTTCATTGAGTGTTACTATGTCATAAATGTGATAGGTAAAACACGTTTCGGATATCTTAATATTATGTTGATTGCAAAATTTCAAATTTTGCTTCTTGTGTGCATTATCATCTGCATACAAAATAAAATTGAGTAGTAGATATTTTTATTTTTTTAATTTTTTCCCAGATGCTAATATACTTTTTAAAATATCGATATCCTTTGCTTTGTACCGTTTGCATCAAAACAGAAATGCAGAAATGAATATAAAATCTCATAAAACTGATATTCTAAAATAAATGAAATTGAAAGTCAAGTTTTAATTTATTCAGTAATAGATTTATTTTATTATGAGTTGGCAAAAATCAATGTTATTTTTTATATAAGAGAAGCCAGATATTTGTGTCATATTTATTTTCTATTTTTAATGGATAACTTTTCTTTGGTTTTTGAGGTATTAGACTGTGATCTGAACATAGGTATTCAGATGGTAAATTTTTGTTTTGGATAAGAAATCTCTTTCATCTATTGAACTGTAATCTGAATGCAAATGTTATATCGCAATTTTGACAGTAGTATTTGAATATACATCTATTCACTTGTAAGTATTCAATACATACTACACAAAAACTGTTGACATAAAAGAAATTGTATCAAAAGGTTCAATATTTTTTTAAGTAGCCTGAGGATTTTTCTGTTGCTTCCAGTTTTAGGGAAGGGTTTTAAATTCATACCATCATTTTTTCCCGACTTCTTCTGCTTTCATTAATGACATTTTGTGCAGTTTTTAAAGCTGAGGAGTGAGAATTAATGGCTGGTTTTTGAAAATTTATTTTTATGGCATGTTCTTTGTTTCGTCTTGTTACAAAATATAAACTGACGTTGAAATTTCATCTTATCACTTTCAGAACTGGATTCGTTGCTTGGTGACACCTTATGTGACATATACGGCAAGTAAAATTCTTTTTATAGCATAATTAAATTTATTTTCTCGTACTTTTAAGGACTATGTTCATATTTTATAACCATTTATTCTACAGACAAAGAAACTCAAATAATGCATAAGTTGCAAAATGCTGTTTTGGAAGTGGAACATATTTTTAATGCTGTTATGGAATATTCTGCGAAATTAGATTGGTAAAGAAATAAAAATATTTTACAGATTCAACTCACTTTCAATATTTTGCTTAGTTAATAACAGTAATAATTATGTTTATTTTTAACTTCATAGTATTGATGTATATATTAGTTTTATCAAATCTGCAAATGAAATTTTCAGCCTGATAGCTCTTGCTGTGATATCACTGGAATACAACTGGACTCAGCCTGAAATTACAGCAGATGGATATTTTGCAATTGTAAAAGGAAGGTTTGTTAAATTGTTCTGTATATTACATTGAAAATATTTAATCTGCATTTGCAAATTCATTTTAACACATTATTATTAGTGAATTATTTAAATTTAGATGTTAAGAAGACTATTGCTGTCTGGTCTTTAGAACTCGTGATTGTTTAAATATTAGTACTAAATATTTAAGTCCTGACAGAGCTATCTTGAATTAATTAAAAGTTTTCTGTGGAGGTAAGGGTTAAATATATATATATAACTTTTTGTAGAATTCTGATAAATTTCATGTTTTGAAAACTAATGTCATGTACCCAGTTGTTTAAAAGTATGTTTAAAGTACATGTAAATAAACTAATTGCTTATAAAAAATTTTTAAAAAAGCAAATGTTTTGGAACAAAAATTTATGGCTTATTGTTTGAAATGAGAAATATCATCTACTACTTTTAAATTTATTCTTTTTTCAAAATGTTGCAAGTAAACAAGCTGTGGATTGAAAGATATGTTTGTGCATTTTCCGAAGAGAAATATTCTCATTCCATAATTCAAAACCATTGTGAAACGTATGGTATTAAAATTTCTAAGGGCAAAATAAGCAGCATTATTAATAGGAAAGAGAAAAACTGTCAGTCATTACCTCTACATGGAAAGAAGGCTCCAAATGAGTACTCAAGAAAGGTATATACTGCTTCTAATATTTCTAAAGTTAAATCGTTGGTAGCGAGAGAAAGTCCACTAATTCATAAAATGAATTCTGTAAATACATCTGTAACAGTAATAAATAAAATATTGAACCAGGGTTTATAGTTTAAAAAAGCTAAAGACGATAATTTTCACCAGTTTTTGCCAAGGCACATCTCTCAATGCTGAACATTTATAGAACCCTGTAAGTAAACTATTTAGCAGGTTATAAATGGAAATACATTGTGACTCTTGATGAAGCACAGGTTTACCTAAATAGCAAATAAACAAAATAACAACAAACTAAGGTTTATTTATTATTGAAAATGAAAAGAAAAAATGTACAAACCTCTTTCCATGAATAGGGCAAAAAAAGTTTCAGTCAGGGGTTTATGATTATTGCAGAATTTTCTCACAGTGGAAAACTAAAAATAAGAAGAGTCAGAAAAAATGCTAAAATCAACTCATTATGTTATCAAGAGAAAGTGTTACGTCCAATATTTACAGAAAAAATTTTATTTCTTTATCCTAGTGACTATGAAAATGTGAAACTTCATCAAGAATTAGTCGTACTTTGAACAGTAGCTTTGCATTCCTTGAAAAATTAAAGATTGTTACTGGTACTGCATATATACCTTTTCAATGTATTCCTGCGAAGTCCCCTGGCATTACACCTATGACTATTTTGCCTTTGGTCTCTCGAAAAGAGATCTGTCTAAGTGTAAACCCCCTCGATTGATAGGCTTTGGAAGAGGAATGGCCCTTGAAAATTTTATGAAAAACCCTTCTATCATGAAATTTCACATTACAGACTTAAAATCCAGAAAAATGGCTATCAGACTGAGCATTTAAAAAAGTACTCTTTACATTTTAAAATTTAATTAAACAGCCCGTAAATCATTCTAGAAATGTGTAATTGTTGCTTTGATCTGATATTGGAAAGGTCTTTATAGAGTAGAAGAATAGCAGAGTCTTTCAAAAATTTCTTTAACTTCTCTGTCACTGCCAGGAATTTATCATCTGTGTAGCATGGCAATTGCCACTGCATCAAACATAAAGTCTTTCATTCATCTTTCATGTGGCATGACAAATAGCCAGTTTATATACTTTTACCATTCATTATTTCATGATATCTTTTATCTTTCAAATAGTAATTACAATTACTGAATAAAATGAGCAGTTTAAAGCCATAAACGTGCTTCTTAATAATTTTTATATTTTCATTTTTAATGACATATCTACTTACATGATTTATTTTATATGCAATTGATAATTTTATGAGCATTTGCTACTTTATTATAATTGTTAAAACATGTTTTGCTTACCATATATCACATACCTCAATACAGCTCATTTCTATTTGATAATTCCCACATCAAGATCTCATACACTCTTTAATGAATGAATTTATATGTATTAAAAGGGCATAAACCTAATTTCATTGACTATTTCATTTATATAAAATGCAAGTAAATATTGTGATCAAGTATTAGTCATGGCTTTGTCATTTATTTTAAATGCCTAGTACAGGGTTCCTACGGTCCTTAAGAGTCTTTAAAAGACCTTAGGTTTTTTGGAATCGATTTTTGGTCCTTTAAAATTTCTTAATTTCGGCCAGAATTGAAAGAAGGTCCTCAAGTTTTAATCATGTGAAATTTCTGTCTGTTTTTACAACTGCCATTTTGAGTGTGAATGCATTTTTGAGGAATATTTTTGGCGATTCACTGTTAAATATGGTTATCTTTTGAATTGGCGAATAGGTTCATGGGTTCTAATTTCTTCGTATTCCTAATATAAATGGTGGGATCCTTATTTCTGACCAAGAAGTGAAGAATGTTTTGCTTCTGATACTAGAATCGTTATTTTTAACATGTTTATCTTCCCTTTATTTTTTTTTTACTTTTCACTATACATAAGCATGGAAAATAGCAAAAATGCTAATCTTATCATATGGATAGGCATTATAGAACGGAATTTTTTATTAATAAAGAAATTGAAAATTGACAATTTAAAAGATTCATCTAATTTAAAAGATTCATCTTAATGCATCATACACAGGGTTGACGTTAGGTATTTTCCCACCTGATGCAATCTCTGTGAATCCTAACTGCTGCCCTATTGCCTTTCTAAATTCTTCTTGCAGTGCCTGCTCTAAATTCTAATTTCTTCATTCTCAAGATAGTCACTAGTGCAGGATAATGGGGAGAAATATTGGCATTCATTAGAAGCAAGTTATTACCAACTGCACTTTAAACAATTTGACATAAGGGCCAAGAACCTAATATCTGTTTATTTCAACATTTGTAAATGGAATGTTAAAAGTATGTAGGTCAATGCAGTCATTCAGAATGATGCCCTTCCGTACCCGCATCATCTTTGTATTGATGCCTTTCATGGATATCAGGCTTATGTTTTGCTCCCTCCAGATTGTAAAACACCTGGAATCACGTTCCAAACAAAAACAAGGCCCATCAGTAAAGAGAATTCGACTCCGGTCCGTAGTACTCTAAGCATGATAATCTCTGGACAACTGCAGCTGGGCACACTTCACAGCCTAAGTTAGTGAGATACAAATCATAGGTTTCCTTTCAAACAACCTTCTTTTATGCTTTGAAACTCATGGTATATCTGTACTGTTTAGTTCTTGCAGCTTTAGCAAACTCCCTTGCAATCTGAGCAGATTTCAGTCTGAGCTTATGTATTTGTTTTAGCAAGCATTGTCAAATAATGGTTCTGAGTGTCTGTTATGGAATGTTTTAGACCTTGACCTGGTTGTATGCATACATCATCAGTGTCTTTGAACCATTTCCCAATTCTTGATATAACCCTTTTGGCTCACAGGCTTTACAGACCTGTGTCATTGTCTGTCCTACTTCCATTTTCCTAGTTGCACACCATTTCGCACAATCCATCAGATGCTTTCTGAAAGACATGTTTCACCTTCCACATACAAAAGTTTTATCTATCTACTCATGTGAGTCTTGAAATCAGAATCTGAAGCATTGCCTGCACTCCTTCCCACAGATGCTGAAAGAACAGGCTCAAAAATTTGCATATTTCTGTCTGACGAAGATGAATCCCTAACATAAAGCACCTTTTTATAGTTGTTTCTTTAATTTTCCCATTAGTATATTCCCATTGTTTCATAAAAATATGTTATTTTGGAAATCAGTTCAAGTAATGGTTGAAATTAAGGAGACATTGTATAAAATCCCAGAAATATTTTAAACATTTTTATGAATATTTTCCGTTAAAAGCATTAATATGTAAATAAAGGAATGAATATGCAGTTATCTGTTGACTGTCTCAGTTATTATATAGAACTGTATCTATCTCTAAAGTCTGTATTTTACCGACTCTGGGCAGAAGATAATGCAGAGTATAACAGATCAACTAAAGGATTCATGAAAATAATTTACCATCTCACATATAAAAAAAATTATTTTCTTTAAAATAAAAGTGTTTGTCAAGAAAATGTTTTTTTTTTGGGGGGGGGGATAAAACTTTTGAACTGGCTAATCAACTTAGAGCATTTGCTCACTTTACAAATCAATATATATATATTATATATAATTTATTTACTAAAGAAATATTGATTATATTATCTCCTAAGATTAATTTTAGTAGAATTATCTAAAAAGAGTGAATCCATAGTTAGTAAGTTTAATTCCGAAAATTGTTTAAAGTGACTTTAATGTAAATTGTTTAAAGTGACTTTAATGTAAATTGTTAAAAATGTTTAAAGGGGACTTGAATTAAATCATAAATAACAAAATTTCAGTTGTAAAAAGAAATTAAATTAAAAGCAAATAATCATTGCCATTGATCGGAAATTAGTTGACTTTTCAAGGGGAACAAACCAACTCCCGTTCAATGAGCGATAATTAAGAAATAAATATGAAGGTGTTTCGTCCTTTACTCAAGTAATAAGGCGATGCCAAACTGGCAATTTAAGTTAGGCCAAATATTTCCGTGAATTGAAGGGATCAAGAACTAATGCAGAGCACTAAAGAATTCATTCTGATTAAGCATTTTCGCTAATTCAATTTTGAGTGAAAAGCAATCTCTGCAGTAAAATTGATAAATTACTTGAGTAATTGTCCCCCGACACCCTCGTGTTTATGCATTTTAATTCAAAACTGTTTGTAAAAAATTAAACATTGGAAATTGGCATTATGAAATAGAACTCAAAGTAATTGAAACAAACATTAGAAAATTACGAAATATAAGAAATGTAATGCAATCTTTGGAAAAACAAATCAAAAATTGAAATTTAAAATATATATAATAAGGAAAGGGAATGTACATGAAGATATAAAAAGCATTAATTAACTTACATTCTTTCTAGTGGGAAGTGGGCAAAGTGTTCTCTTCGCATCTTACTCAGAAGGATTGTGTTTCCGAAATTCCTTATCGGCAGCGGGTGCTTTGAATTATTTCAGTCAGCAAAATTTGTGTGAAGTAATTTATGGGAGAGGGAGTGACTAGGAATGCCCGAGGAATGCCGATATTATATATGTTACGGTGAAACACCGAAATCTGGAGAATGTCGACTTTCACCGGTGAATGTCAACATTCACATAGTCTCTTGGTGTATGTCCAAAATATTTTCCAAATACTCTTATTTCTGACTTACATCGGTCAATGTCGACATTCACCATGTACTAATGGTGAATGTTGAACATATAACAATATTATATTTTCTTCTCTGTAATTCAGTCTCGAATAAACGCACTTGAGACTTGAAATAAGAACTTAAGAACATGAGAACCTAAAACACACAATACATTCAAAATGAGAAAGGAAAATAATAAAAGTTAAAACTTACTTAATTATACAGTACGTTCTAAGTGAGAAAATAAAATAACAGTAATAAAAAACTTACTAAATTATGTGATTCAAATCTTATTTATTGCAACAACTTAAACTATTATGGCACTTTATGACCTCTCTTTTCGACTTTCACCAGAGCATATCTGTGATTGTCGACATACACTGGTGAAAGGTCCGAATATACAAGAATGTAGTGAAATATTCGGTCTTTCACCGACGTATTTGGTGAATGTTGATATTCTCCGGTGAAAGTCGGCGTTCTCCAATTTCGGTCTTTCACGGTAACATATGTTTATAGATAGATTATATTATATTTATACATATATTGTATAATGTATACAATGTATATGTTACCGGCAAAGTTTGAAATCCGTCATTCTACAGAATGCCTAGGCATTGTATATAATGTGTAAAACTAGCCGGCAATGTATGAAATGATTCATATTTCACGCATTTCCTAGGCATTCTATAGAATGCCAAATTAAAAGCTGGAAAAGTACATACTGAATACATTTCCGATTCGTTTCGAAAAACCAAAACTACGTACCAGAAGTTAATAAATGACGTAAAAAGGCCAAAACCACTACTAAGACCACGGTACTACTGACTGCTTTATCGCTAGGATGTGATATTTGTGGAAACAAAAGTACATTTATTTACCTTGCTAAAGAAAGCATCAGTATCACGTCACGGACAGTACAATATCACGTCATGGACGCTGAGTTATTTTCTGTGTTTCATGAAAACTCATTTCAGTACTGGACACGGACGTGACACAATGTTGAAACAATGTTCAACAAATTACAAAAACTTTACATGTAAATGATATTGAACTGTAGAGCTGGCTTTGTGAGCCCTGCCAGAAAAACAGAAAGGTATTAAAAAGGCCATTTATGTGAAACTTATGATTGTTTCTGAATGTAATTTCCGTCGTCAGGTAGATCTTACCGATTCCCAGTCTCAGCCAGATAGCAAACTTATTATGTTGTATCAAGGATCATCTCACCTCTTCTTTTTTTTTTTTTTTTTCCGTATTTCGAATAACAGTTTAACAGTTTTTTAATGGCACTCTTTCATGAATTTTTCAAAATAACATTTGTATTTCTGAGGAAGGAACGTCTTTTAAATAATAACCTTATCATAACCTTTCTTTTCATACTTTGCCTAAGGAGCATTTGCCATTTTATAGAATACCTAGGTGTTATATACAATGCCTAGGGAAAGTATGCAATAATTCTCATATTTCACACTTTGCCTAAAATCGTCTGGCATTGTATACAATGCCTAAGCATTCTATAGAATGCCGGTGTTTCATACTTTGCCGGTAACACACACACACATATATATATATATATGAAATGAAAATATTTGAAAATTTCTTATTCTTTTCATATAGTGTGTCATGCACCTATTTTATGTTCGTTTCCGCTGTGTTTATTTATAATAGGCATCCTCTTCAAGAACTGTGTGTTGAATCATTTGTTCCAAATGATACGTTTAGTGGAAAGCATGAAAGTAAAATCAAAATTCTAACTGGGCCTAACTCTAGCGGCAAAAGCATCTATTTAAAGCAAGTAAGTTTAACTGTCCTTGTTCACTTACCAGTTTATTGAAGTGCACTATCTAATTATGGTAACGTACATTGGGACTTAACTATAAAGAAAAATACTTTAATACTGCATATAAAATATCTTAATTATTACGTTTCATTTTAAGTTTTTCTTATGTAATGCATCTTTTTTATTAAACATGTGTTTTAGAGAGTACCTAGTACCTAGTAGTAAAAGACTGTACCTAGTGTTGTATTACTGTATAAAGGAAATTACAACGTTTATAGGACATAATCTTCTAAAAGTTAAACAGCAAAATCCCCATATTTGTGGGTAATAGTTTTGAAGATTTACCGATGATAGTAGTGAACACTATATTAAACATAATATTCATATGACATCCATAAATGAGATCTAATTTAATTAAAAAATTATGTAGGCTAAGATATTACCACATTAAGTAAAACAATAATGTGTACTATATGCTGTGCCACATGCTGAACTACTAAATTAAATTATGCAAAATAACGAAACACTGCAATACACTTTCTCTTGGTGCATATGAGAGAATCTTCAAAATCAACAATGAAAAAGTACAATACCTGTACTACATAACATAATGTAGTATTTCAAGGAATGCAGAACTGAAAAGTTTCTGTTTTTGCAATAGTGTGAGTACAAAAACAAAACAAAAAAAAAGTGAGTGAAATATTATTTGGATGATGACTCCAATAATCTGAGAATACATGAAAATTTTTCACAAGGATCGTTTTTGCCTTCCATTTGTCAGTATTGGTTTGAAAGATATATGCAAGTGCTTATGTTCGCAGTTGCTGCTGTTTCATAATGTACAGGTTTATTTTCACTTACTATAACTTTCCCTCTTAGAGTAAATGAAAATAAACGGGCTCTCAATAGAAATAACAGAAGAACTCTTCCTAGCAGACAGGAAGAAATTTGTTAAGATACTCAATAATTGCCTAAACAAAGGATATTTCCCAGATACATGGAAATCCGGCAATTTAGTTTTGTTCCGAAAGGAAGGTAAAGACCCGACCAACACAAATGCCTATCGCCCGATTTGCCTTCTGTCGGCATGGGGCAAGGTTCTGCACAAGCTAATAGCGAAAAGAATCACCCACCACCTAGTGTCAAATAAAAAGCTGCATGGGCAGCAGTTCAGCTTTTTACCCGATAGAAGCACAATAGACGCCTTAAATGAATTAGTAAAACAAATCCATGAGAACAAGAGAAGGAACTTACACACATGTATAATAGCACTAGACGTCACATCGGCCTTTAATAATCTATGGTGGCCGGAAGTCCTGGAAAGATTCAAAGACATGGACTGCCCAACGAACATTTACGAAATAATAAAAAGTTATTTAAACAATAGAAGAATTACATATAAACGTGATGGAGTAAATATCACACATAAATATGAGAAAGTAGCCCCACAAGGGTCAAACCTGAGGCCTATTTTATGGAACGACGTAGCAGATTCTGCCCTCAAAATAAAATTCGATGATGACGTCAAACTGCAAGCATATGCAGATGATTTTATCTTAATAATAGCGGGAGGAAATAGAACAAGAATAGAGGAAAAAGCCCATAAGGCCCTTTCCCAGATTCAACAATGGAGTGAAGATTACAAATTAAAGTTCAGCGTCGAAAAGCAACAAACTTCATCGATCTCCCCCCAGGATAAAATGGAATGATACCACAATGCGCACCCCTGAGATACTTGGGATTTACCCTCAATCAAAAACTCACGTGGATCCCTCATCTAGGGGAATAAAGGAAAAACATTAAGTCTCATTAACAATCTCAATAAGATGATAAAGCATAGATGGAATCTAAGAGGGAAACTTTTAAAGACATTGTACATACAAGCAATTGGAAGAATGATTCTCTACGGATGTCCCATTTGGTTCACGGGCACAGAAAGACAAAAGATAAAGCTAAATCAAATACAAAGGTTAGCTCTATTATGCATTACAAAGGCCTTCTCCATGGCCCCAACATCAGGACTACAAGTCTTGACCAGTCTCTTACCACTAGACTTAAAAGCTCACATGGAGTCAAGTCTGTACAGAATACAGCACTACAAAGAGAATATAAACATAGGAGATCTTGTAATTTGGGGTAATGAGATAGAAGAAAAACTACCTACAGCCTCAGAGCACCCAGCGAAAAAATTCCGCTTAAAATGGAATAAAGAGCCCCCAGAGTGGCCCTCTGGGGGCAGGCAAGTGTCTGGGACAGAAGGCAAGTGTCTGGGATTAGAAGCATTCACAGATGGTTCGAAGAAAGAGAATAAAGTAGGGGCGGCGTTTGTGATCTTCAACAACTTTCTTCACAAGAAACACATAGCAGCAGATTTAGACTAAACAACGATGCCACGGTTTTTTAGGCAGACGTCCTGGCCCTAAAAGAGGCATGCAAGTGGCTAAGCTATAACGTAAGCCCAGAAGTCCCAATTCAGGTCTATACAGACAGTCAAAACTCCCTGCAGAGTTTAAACAAGATTACGAACACCAACAGCAGTATCAAGGCGTTAAAAGAAATCTTCCTCACCCTACAAAGACTCCCACACAGTAGGATTTCATTGGGTTAAAGCACATGAGGGAACATTAGGTAATGAAAAAGCAGACACGGAGACAAAAAGAGCAACAGAAATAGACGTGGAAGTCACCCTCTCAGACATGGCAGTGAAGACCAGGCTCAAACAAAAATGCAAAAACAATGGCAGGAAAGATGGGAACAAGAGCAGACAGGCAGATGGACGTATAACATATTCCCGACAGTCTCCCCCAAAAGGCTAAGGATGGATTACTACTAAGTGCAAGCACTTACAAATCATGGGAAATTTCTGAGCTATTATCTCAGATTCTTCAGAAGACAGATTATATGCGCCTGCGGCACAAGCGCCTCTTTAGCCAATGCTTCTCATTACATCATCAGATGCCCCCTCATCCAAAAGCTCAGAAAAGAAGTCTTCTCGTGCTCCTTCTCCTTGTTGGAGTTGCCACATCTCGCTAAATTTCCAGCGGGCCTCAGAGGCATCCAACGCATAATAAGACATGTAGCAGACAACCAAGCTTTATTTGTGAAGGAGCCGTTGTCGTCATAAGACAATGCTCCACATTCCTTCAACTCATGTAAGATGGCCACTGATTAGTCATGTATATATTGTAAATAGCCATCACATCTCATCTTTGTTTTTTAATTGTATTTTGTTCATTTTAATAAATAAAAGTTAGTTAAAATTAAGAGGATCTTGATTGCGATCCTCAAAAAACTATTTGTTGGGGAGATCAGATAACTCCCGACAAATCTTCTGGTCACTGGATCGTACTATGGTGTGCGATGCTTTGGAGACTTCGTCGAAAGGCCCTCCAAAAAGATACAATGTTCAGCCTAAGGGCATCTACATATGCGGAACCCAAAGATCAGTACCAAAAAGAGCCATTTCAAATTAGCACAAACAAAAGTTGCAGCTCCCTCCCGCCTAATGTGGAGGGATCAAACCAAGTGTCACCGTGGATTCAAAACCACTTACGAGCCAACAGCGACCAGTCTTCTCAGACCTAATCCTCCCACCTAATACCGAGGATAGACCTCCCCAGATGAGGGAGAGTCAAAAACAGGTTTCCCACAGTTGCGAAAAATCGCAGGAGTGGTGAGTAAAATTCGATTTGATTCACTTACTATACTTTGATTATTCGTAACTGCTTAAAACAATGATTAGAACTGCAGATATAAGAACATAACTATACATATAGTTATTACACTCATAATCACATACATGCACACGAGCAAATTATAGTTCTGTAATCTGGCTCATTATGATGTAATTATTCACTTGTAACATTTATCTTTGGAAAGTGGTTCTTCCTGCGTGAAATTTAAACAAATGGAGCCTTAATCTATGAATATTTTTCAAAATTTAGTGTGTCTTATTTATCTTTAGCACCAATGTTTTTGTATCAGTTTCTGAATGCCTTATTTTTCATAATGATTTGCTTTGCTTTTTGTTTTCATAGCTTCCATATCACGAGAATGATTTTTAAGTTATTAATTTTTTTTACATTCAATTTTTTTCAATTCCCAAGAGTATTTTCTACATGCACAAAATTGAGTGTTATGCATCATTTCAAATAAAATGAGCAAATAATCTGTAATTTAAATTGCATGAATAACATTAGTCCTAAGTAATCTCTTCAAATGATATTTGGTATAAATTTTTAATTGATGCATACTTTTTAAAATTAAGCTAATAGAGTGGAGCACCAATTATATGTTCTCGTTAAACGAGAAACATATAAATGGTGCTCTATGGTAAAACACATATAAACGACATTTATAAGTGTTTTACATTTATGCATCGTATCATCTTGGTTCTGATTCAGTCATATTTTTTAATAGTAAAATATTTCTTTTGTATATCATGTAACTTCAGTTATTCTTCCCTTTTGCTTGACTTACAGCATTGGTTTTACATTTCACAGTCCCCCATTAATTATTTTCCTCAGAAATGGGGACAGGACTAAGAAACAAAGGCATGAGACATTGCAGTCTGGTACAGGAATCGAAAATTAGTACATAAATAGAGGGAATGCTTGGAAGGAAAAATAGATACGGTTTACCTTCTGAACAGGACACTGTTTAAACTAAGTGGAGCAGAATTAACTGATACAAAATGTTACAAAAGCGAAAACATTCAACTTAAAAGTGGAAATTCAAAGCTGGAAATTTTCCTGAGGTTAAAGCCATTTTTGCTAAAATTTTTCATTCAGTGTTGTGCATCTTCCTGTGAATGGTCAATCAAGAAGTCAAAGAAATAGCACTTCGACTGAATGTTAAAGAAACTTCTATTTCAACTGGATGACTTCAGAAATTTAAACTGCTGCATAGAATATTATGTCATGTAATAAATGAAGAATCAATAAGCATTCTTGCTGAGTCTGTTGAAGACTGATTCAAGAATTTATCTGCCAAAATAGATGAATAAGAAATAAAAGACATTTTTAATGTTAATGAAACTACTAATGTTAATGAAAGCTTTCAAAGGTGACCAGTGTTATGCAACTAAGCAAAGTAAAGAAATTTTGATCGTATATGAGTGAAAAATATAAATTATAAAATCACAAATCATTTTGTCTAAAGCATATCATACTGCATCTTAAACTGATATGATCAGGAATAATTTCTTTTTCAAAATAGAACTGTTTTCTCCAGTTAAAAAAAATTGTATGAACAGTATAAGAATGCTGTACATCTTCATTTTTTGTTCAGTTAATTATTAATATATAATTTTAAATACACAATTGGCATCAGTAATTCTTGTTAATAATGCAAATTAACGCCACTTTATTTTATCTTTTCTACTACAATACAAAGTCCGAAATCCAGACTGGTTGGGACTTCAGCGATTCCAGATTTTGGAATTTCTTTTGTATATTAGATCATCACTATAAATTTGATAAAATGATACAGAAATTAGAAAATTAAAAATTTGAAAATTGGTTTATTAAATACTGAAGCATTTATTAACATAAGAGAATCAAAATTTACAAAGAAAAGCTCAATATTTATTTGTTTGCTTTGTTAGAAAAGCTCAGTATTTATTGGTTTGTTTGTTTCTTTCAATGCAAGTTATTTAAGTTGCTTTACTTTTGTGCTAATACGTTTTCTTTAATTTTATAGAGAGACATAATTTCTCATTGTTACAAAGGTCCACTGTTCAAGTTCTGTAACTGCCATGTTGAAAATTCACACTAAATTTTCAATCAAAATTTTTCCGTTCTCAAAATATCTGTTAATTCTCCATCATTTTTAATGATAGTTTTGGATTTAGAACCATACTGTAGATATCACTATCTGTTAGTTACTGATGATTGGGACATTGCCATCATAATGAAAAACTTCTTTTATATCATCCTCATTTATTACTGCTTCTGAACATTTCTTCCCAAATTTCATTAGTTCGAAAATTTCGCCTTTTGTTTTAGTATTTGAAAAACGTCAATTTCGCAACTATCATCATAACGTTTATGTAGTGTATGCTATACATTATTGGTGATGTATCATGAAATTGGTCTCTAGAGACATGTTGTTCACTAAGAAATATAATCTTTTGATCCATGATTATCATTTCCAGAATTTATATTTTGCATATGGAAAAATATTTCTCTTAAATTTCTCCTCGTAAATGCTTCAAACACTTTACTGTGCAGTTAGCTAAAGTCTGTAATCATCGCTACGCCTAATGTCAACATGATAGGTTACAACACTCTCCGGTGTTAATAATGTTTTTGTAAAAAAAAAATGTTTAGGTGTTGCTGGATGAATCATTTTTTTCTCATTGCCAACATACAGCATCTTCTGCAAAGCAACGCTTATAAACACATTCAGCTGGTATGGGTCAGAGCATATGCAGGTTTGTTAGGAAAATAAACAGCCAACAAACTTCCCAAAGAGGGAAGTAACAACATAAACGCAGAGAAAATTAATATTCCGACACCTCCCTCTTACTTGAAAAAGGAGCTGCTTCAAAAGGATCCCTGAAATGGTAACAGGAATCTGAATTAAGTGATACAGGGGAGACATACATACGATTTCTTTCCAAAAATTAATCTCCAGAGACACATGTCCATCACACAAATCACCAACTTTGTCTGGTGTCACAGACTATTTCCTGTTTATTTTCTTCACTTTGGAATTTCTGAAACTGCAACCTATGTCTGCGGAGCAGAAGGCTTCCCAGACCACTACATCTATCAATGCACTGTCACCAACGCCACTCATCTACGTCAGTACTTCAGTAATGGGGACAATCACAGACACTTTATTACACAAAAACGTGTGACTGTGCATAAGATATGTCAGATTATCATCACTATTGCAGCCCTAGGACAGGGCATCTGCCGGGTCAGATAAGACCTTCTCTTGCTAAGCTACCCTTTTTTCATTGAACTACTTATTTAATATTGCACTAATTTTTCATTATTTATTTATTTAATATTGTACTACTTTTACATTGTACTATTTATTTATTTTATTATGTATTTACTACTTACGTACTTTTATATCGCACTACTTATTCATTGTATTACTTTTATGCTTTATGTTCTCTGTTTCATATTCTGAAATTGCAATTTTCTGGACCTCTTTTCCGCAGCTCCTTTTCCTTTGCTTTATACTTCACAATTATGTGTTCCAATTAATTCAGAAACTGCTGAATGATTTATCACGCTTATTATATTTTGACATGAATTATTAATTCCCAAACTCCTTATTTCCCATAGCTGAGAATTCTGTTCTAGTAATTCTTCATCCTATACTGAATTAACTTATTTAAAAAATGCCTGTCAAGTTATCCTTTAATGAACTTCGCTTTTCATTCACTATCCCTAATCTACCATTCAATGCCTGGTCAAATTTGCTTTCATACAATTATTTGGTCATTTTGTTCCCCATTAAAATACAATTCAAATAATCATTCCGAGTCAAAACAGGCAATCTCTATGATGGCTGTGTCGCTGAAGTCAGATAAATCAAACGCATCAAACTTATGACTATTTTGATTGGCCCCCTCCAATGATTATGGTACTGGAACATATGGTTTTGATTTCAAGAGTTTGGATAATGAGTGGACAACTACAGTTTTCAGGGAAAATTCCTTCCCATTAAACTAATAATGCAGATTTGAAGATGGAAAGATGTGAATTCTCTCTCTCTATTTTTACTTCCTTGTACGAAGTAAAAAGGAAGTATTGTAATTGCGAAAAGTTTCAGGCAGCATATTTCAACGAAAATATCCATTTTGACCACTATCGAATGCAATTTAACGATGTTTTTGCGTGATATCTGTACGTAAGGACAGAATAAAAGACTCTTTGCCTCCAAAAAAAATTATAAAAACTGCTTTAAAGAAATTCTGAAGAGAATTTTTCATGGGCGTCTGTACGAACGTATGTACGTACGTACGTATCTCGCCTAACTCGAAAAACGAGTAGCCTCAGAACGTTGAAATTTTGTATATAGAACTGCTATAACATGTAGATGTGCACCTCGTATTTTGGTTGCAATCGGCCGCACCAAACGTATATAAATACTATATTTATATATATATCCACTCTGTTACTCGGCACAGTGATCTCAGTTTTTTACTCTTATATGTTTGTAAATTGTACATTTTTTGCTTTAAAAATGATTGAATTATGTTGTTCTTATCATCCGGTTAAGGTTTTTATGCCTTTCGTAATTCTGGAAGCAATATTTGTACAATTATCAACAATTTAAAAGCTATTTAAGTGCAGTTAAGTTTTAAATAACATGGCGGACATATTTGTTTACATTTGAAACAGCAGAATTGTAGATTTGTTGCCAATCTAGAGAGACTAAGGGCCCTATTCACGACAAGGAGCGTAAATAACGACCTTCTCTTAATGGACGACCGCTAAATTTCACGGCTCCAGTAACCCTAAGGACTGTTGGTTAAATTGGCATTCGTGACAACGACCGTCGGAGGAAACCTTACGGTAAGCAACCTTCGTTCGAGAGTTGGGAAACTTTGTTAAAATAAGCCAATCATATTACAGCTACTAGAGACACAGGTTGACTCATCAGCCATGTTCAAGTGTGGGCCTCGTATTATAGCACGCGTTAGGGTTGTATTTCAGGTTTGGGTGCCATTTTGGCACTTTAGCGGTGTCGCTAAAATGTTATTATTTAACATTCTAGGGTATCCAAGCTTCCGATTTTTTGCCTTCATATAAAGATGTGTGGCTTTTGTCCCCTTTCTTTTCTCTGCAGTTCAGCTTCTGCCAAATTTCTCATATGATTTAAGTTATTTTGAAAGTTTCTAAAACATTTTCATATATTATATTTCACATTTGTATATTAGTTAAAAATACTTTCTTTATTGAATTTTCAATTTTTACTTGTAAATACATGCATAATGTTAAGCGTCCCAAAATCTATTTTTTGACAATAAATTCCTCGCAGCTGTATGTTTAAATTTTTATGAGGTTGTACTGGATTTATAATCATACTTTTATAGTTATTTAACTTTTTTCCTTTTAGAATTCAAGGCAATTTCATGTGTCATATAAAAATTAGACGTCTCTCAGTGCTCTATTTGTATGATAATTCTTAATTTCTGAGCTATGGCATTTCAGTACTGATGGAGTTAAGCATATTACTTTTATTTACATTACATGTTTAAACTATTTAGAGGCCATTAAAGCTGTGGGTTACAAATTGGTATAATACAACTTCAGTAATTTTTAAGTTTCAAAAGCTTTCTGAATCAAAAGATAATTTTCTAAAATTTTCAATAAATGTTTACATGATGAATACAAAGTGCATGCTGGCGCTTCAATATATCTAGCAAGTTCACAGTTTAAACTTCTGAAAAAATTATTAATAGCATGTCTGCATATAAAGCATGTTTTTTATTTTAATATGCTATTTGAAGTTTGCTTACATGGAATCTAACATCTATTATTGTAGCAAACTGGTTAAAAAATGTTTTTTTTGCATGTGTTAATCAAAAGGCTTTGATTTTAAATACTGGTTCAAGACATGCACCTTTTTTAAATTAAATGCTCAGATTGAAGTGCAAAATGCTGTAAAAAATACTTCAGTTCTCTGATGGTAAAAAAAATAAATTTTTGTATAGATTTAGTAGAGCAAAAATTCCACATCAAAAATAATTTTTCACCCTTGTTTAGGTAAAACGAAATTAAAAAATAATACGTACATAAATATATACAAATAATACATTTACATACGGAATTTGCAGATATTATTTACTAATCAATTATTTGTTATTGATAGCCACTTTTTATAACACAGAAAAAATACTGATAAATTTGTAAGAATTTACATGCATTAAATGAAAAAAAACATACATATGCTGTTAATATTACACTTATCTGAATATTTAATGATAATTCCATAACCTATATAAGATTCAATGGTTGATCTTTACATTATGGTAACTTGGCGATTTTTTGGCGAAAATTTGGCAACCAACTCTCCTACAGCAACCCTCTATTTTTTTTCCCCGCCGCCATTTTGTCTTCACGAAGTAAAGAC